AGAGACGTTTCACTATCGTTCCTCGTTAGCGCCTTCGGTTCTCACTAGAAGACTTTCTGTGTTTCTTCCTGGTTGCTCCAGTCTCGGCTCAGTGAGTCATGAAGACAACATCACTTCGTCCTCGGCGGCTTCACAAACTTTCTCAACTCGTCCTGCTTTGGAAACTTCAGGCCGACCTTTGGTTTATTTACAGGAACCCGGTCGTGAACCGGAGACGAGGCTCGGCCTCCGTCCAGCGCCTCCGATGAAACATTGAACGCCGGTTGAGATATTTCGCTCAAGCGGACAGAAAACGCAATCTGGCTGGTTGGGAGAGACGGAGAGCGATGGGGTTCAGGGAGTCACGGGTCAGGAATGATGCCAGACCTGCAGCCTCGGCTTCATCTGAGAGAACGAATGAATTTATTAGAGGCCGAGCGCGGCGCTAGATGGGTTACCCTCCGCCGCCGCCGAGGCTCCGTATCGATCCACACATCTCATCTGGGCGCCGGATTACTCCGTCAGAACGGGTCTGCGTGGAGGCGATTCTGGAGCCGCTCACCTGACCTCCTCGTTACCGCGCCGACGTCTCCGCTCGGTATCTCGTTAGCTGCCCCGGCGCTCCTCGTTAACCGGGTTCCTCTCCTCGTTAACGGAAAGCTGCTTCAGTCTAATGAAAAAGTTCCTGCAGGATGTGAGATTTTTAAGGAAATAAATCAGCGGTGCTCTGGGGTTCTGGGGTTCTGTTAGGAGTCTGCTTTAAGGAGGAAGGAGACGGATCCGGCAGCACTTTAACGTTTTAACCCACATTCAGTCCAACAAAGAGCCTCATCAGGCCAAAGACCCTCTGATCAGGGCTTCATATGGAAATCATCCGATATCTACATTTACGTCACAGAAACTGGACCGAGCCGGTTTTACAAAGCAGCACCGTGAAATCAGGAGGTTTAAAAGGTCTGTTGTCATTAAAAAAACACCTAAATTAAACCATTTAGTGTAAAAACAGGAACAATCACTGGATTTTATATTTCTCTATCGAAAAATAAAAAAAAAAAACAAACAAAACCTCAATTTAATCTTTAAAAATTCACTAAAAATAAATAATTTGCTTTAACTAGATTCTGTAAAAAACAAAAAATTCTGCATTTCACAGCAAAAGTTCAAAGCCATGACTGACTCAGATGTGACCAACAATCACATGGAAATAATTCAAAGCGTTTTGAACTGCAGGCAGCGTTTCCACAGAGCAGAGAGGAGACGAGTGTCGAAACAAATTAAAAATGTTAATAGATGGAGTCAGTTCACAAACTCAAATATATGAGTTAAACATAATGGCTGTGCTGTGGATTTAGAGATATATTTGTGTTAAATTAACCAAAAAGTGACAAAAAATGACCCCAAAGTAGCTTAAAATGGACAAAATATGGTCAAAACAGCCCAAAAAGGCCACAAAACAGCATGAAACAACCACAATAGGGAGAAAAACAACTACAAAGTGACACTAAATGATTCAAAGTCCACCAAATGTTTTTCTGTAAGAGTGAACACGACAGTCTGAATGCACTGACAGCGTCTGAGAAAGCGAAACTCCACTACTTAAATGCTAAAAACTTTCATTTGAAGCCAATAAATGAGGACTGGGTGACGTAAAACGACTAAAATATGATGAAAAACGGTCCCGGAATGACGACAAAATGACACAACAACCAAAAAATGATCATAAAGCAATAAAACAACCAATAAATAATATAAAAGAACCGAAAAGTGCTTCAAAAAATTCCCTCAAAAAAGTTCAAAATGACCAAAATGTAATAAAAACCACCGCCAATGGCTATAAAGTGACATAAAACAAACCACAAATAGAAGCAAAATGACTACAAAGTGACACAAAACTTCATCAAAGGTTCTGCTGTAAGAGTGAACACGACAGTCTGAATGTACTGACAGCATCTGATGACTGAACACTCCGTAGATTAGTAATGACGGTAGCACATCATGCTAATGCAGCTAGGTTAACTTACTGTCTACAGCCGTTTATGCTAACTGTAAAATAATCAAAGCTCACCAAACCTTCTTCCTGAAGGGGGCGGAGCCAACAGCATTTAAAGCTACAGACACTGAAACAGCCTGTTTAGAACAAAACTCATCATAAAGCTGTGGAGAAGTGAAGGATCTTGTTGGGGACATGAAATATTTTAATTAATTTGCTTAAAAGGGTCAAAACATGAGACCTTTAACGGGACAGGGACTCACGCTGCAGCTGCTCAGCTTCAAATCACCAATAAACTACAAACTATAGTTTAGAATAAAACGTCCAACGAGCTGAATGACGTCAACCTGAAGATGTTTTCTGACAATCATGCATCAAAGTCCAGAAAAACATCAACTCAGTGACTTCAAACTTCATGCAGGAGTCCATGAAGTCCATGAAACCAGCTTCCTTGACACCCGCAGCCGGACTGGTTTCACTGGGAACCGGCTGCAGCCATTTGCATAAAGATCAATACTGAGCGCGCTCAGTGGCGCCGCGTGAGCGCTAATTAATTCTGGCCCTCGCAGCACTTTTAAGCGTTTTAAGCCCCACCGCGGGTTTCTAGTAACTCTGGATATAAAGAAGGGTGTGTGTGTGTGTGTGTGTGTGTGTGTGTGTGTGTTAGCATTAGCGTCGAGCTAATCCTTGAGCTAACAGCGAGCGCTGAACACTCGGAGTGTAATTTGCAGCGTCCCTGAACACTCGTGTGAATCCGACACTCTGGAGCCTCTTTTTCCTGAATGTACTTTAGATTTTTTTCCAGTCATCTGTGCTTTCATCTCTTTTTTTTCTTTTCTTTCTTGTTGCGTCGCCGGTTCGTCATCGTCACATTTACATATTCATGAGCCCAGTCCGGCGCCTCGGCCCGGCCCGTTGCTCACCGGTACATCTTTCATCAGCTGCAGTCGGAGCTTCACAGCGACGACCTGCTTCTTATTGAACGTTATTACTATTTCATTCGTGGTGTGGACCTGCGTCATCCGGAGGTTTTTACCAGTCGGCCGCTGACATTAAACTTTAACTAACAGCTTGTTGTGCTGCGATCGAGCTGCGGTATTGATCCGGTATTGATCGGCCGAATGTGGGTCCAGCTGCTGCTGCTGGAAACATACGAACGTGATCGAAGGGAATCCCGGCCGGAGAGACGCAGTCAGAGTTTGTTCACCTTTCTGGTCGATATTTATAAGAAAATATGCACATATTTAACATGAAACACGGTTTCATCCAGAACCAGCAGGCTGCTGGATCAGAACACTTGTTTGTTCTCACCATCGAGGTTCTGATATTTCTAGAGTCCGCTCAGTCTCGTCTAGATGATTATGAAGCAACAGCTCAACTTTCAGCGTTTTATGTTGAGATAAATGCAAAAACGTCACAACTTCATCATGTAAAACCCGTTTTTCCTTCATGTAGAGGCTGATATTTAAAACGTTCCTGCATCATCATATCAGATTATAGCAGGTCTGAACAGTCGAGACTATTCTGGAAAAATCAGATGAATTATGAAGGTATGGACCTGATAATGATGAAGAGGAGCTTTTAAGTGAATGAAAACAGCTTCATGGGGCTCATTGGGTTAAAGAACGCTCTAAAAAATTATGTTTGAGCTCAATAGAAATACATTTAATGAGTATTTTTGAGTTCTGACAACTTCCAAAGAAATTATGTTCAACCAACAAACTAAATGAAGTTGGATGAACTCATTTTTCCTTGCCTTTCTTTTTTTTTGTTTTTTTAAATAAAACCTAACTTGTGTAATAATTAGCAGCACAAACACAAAGCTTTAAGCTGATCACTGAACTAATTACTGAACATTATTTAAGTTTCATTTGCTTAATTAACATAATCAAGTTTTTAAGTTGACAAAACAGTAAAAAATTAAGTTGCTCCGATTAGATTTTCTTCAGTCGTTTGTGTTCACGTCATAATTTTTAGATAAACGTTGATTAAATTTGTATGTTGAACTATTTAAACAGAAGTCGTTTAAACGACTAATTTGAGTTTAAATTACACAAAAAACTTAGTTGATCCAACATTATTATTATGGTATCGTTTTTTTGTTTGTTTGTTTAAAAGCCTGAAACCTTAAAGATTTACTAAATCATTAATTTTTCATTTTGTATTTATGAGCAAAGAAAACATTAGTTTTGCAACTTAAACTCTCATCTGCAGAGTTTATTAATTCTATTTATCTTATTTTTTTGAAGGTTTTTTAGTCATTAAACTCCTTGAAGTGTTTCAGCTTCAATCTTTTAATCTCAGCGTCTTTATTTGGCAAAAAAATATTTGATTTTAAAACAACAAAACAGAAAATGTTTGTTTTATAAACTAACATCACATCAAAAAAAAAAAAACCTCAACTCAAGATTAACCCATCTGTGTTTTGGGTTTTTCTTTTTTTAATGTGCATTTTTCAACGTTACAATAAAAAAGAAAAACAGATCACTACATGTTTCATCTCATCAGATCTGAACGGATTCAGACGAACCTTTCTGACGGTTGCTGAGGTTCAACGAGTCAATCGGGAGTTTTTCTGCCGTGAAATATGAATAAAATGACCGTCATGTGTCGTCCAATCACGGATTAGCATGACTGTCGCCATGGCAACACCCACAAACAAACACAAATAAGCTCATGTACAAAACAACAACAACAAACGTATCGGCTCAAAGCGTGTTTCCCTTCAGCGCCGCGGGAGACGAAACCTGACGTGGAAACGAGTCTGCAGCCGAGGATTATGGGAAATTCACAGGGAGGCGTGTGTGTGTGTGTGTGTGTGTGTGTGTGTGTGTGTGGTTTGACAACACACACACACACACACACACACACGGTGAGCAGCGTCTGAGAGTTAATCAATGTCGAGGATGTGAAGCTTTGACCTTTTCTAGTCGAACCACCTGCTGCTGCTGCAGGAAGAGCCGCTGTGTGTGTGTGTGTGTGTGTGTGTCTGTGTGTGTGTGTGTGTGTGTGTGTTGTTGTTGTTGCGTACCGTCTCTCCCGCTGCAGTGTGTACGAGCTCCTGAAGAAGCCCAGCAGCTCGTCCTCGATGGCGGCGTCGAAGCTCACGTTGAGTCTGTACAGTCTCATCGGCTTCAGCTCGCGGTGCAGAACCACCACGTACATCTGGTTGGCCGGGAACGGGAAGTGCCGGTGCACGCGCATGACTCCGCCCCCCGGCCGGTTGGCAGGGCGACCGCTGCCCCCGCCTCCCTCCGCCGTGACGGACACCCGGTCCACCTGGAGGAGGAAGAGGAGGAAGAGGAGGAAGCAGGGTGAGAAACCGATGGTCCTGGACCTGGACCTGCAGAGAACCAACCACTGGATGGTTGGTCTGCTACTTAAGGAAACACGACTTTCTTAGAGTCAGGAGAACCTCGAGGAACTCTGAGTTCTTAAGATGAGCTGCAGAGTCGTGTCGACACGAACAACGTATAGAATAATTAGTGAATTTCCCCAGTGAGGGATCAATAAAGTTTTTGTTTTTTTAATTAATTCCAGAAGATCAGCTTCATCTTGGACGCTCACTACGGTAAAAACAAACCACCAACACTGGCAGAAAATGCAGGAAAAGACCAAAATGTGTTAAAAAGGGCCCCAAAATGGCCACAAAGTGACACAAAACGCTGCAAAGTTCAACAGATGTTCAACTGTGAGAGTGAACACAACAGTTTTCATGCAGTGACAGCATCTGAGGAACTGAACACCCCCTAGATTATTATTGATGGTGATGTTCTCACAAAATTCTTAGCGTTAGCACATCATGTGCTAATGTAGCTAGATTCATTAACTGTCGATAGCTGCATTTGCTGACTCTAAAATTACCAACGTGTTAAAAAAGGCCCCAAAAGGGCTACAAAACAACATAAAACAACCATAAATGGGAGCAAAATGGCCACAAAGTGACACAAAAAGCTGCAATGTTCAACAAACATTCTGCTGTAAGAGTGAACACAAGAGTCTTCATGCACCAACAGCATCTGAGGAACTGGACACCCCCTAGATTATTACTGATGGTAGCAGATCATGCTAATGTGGCTAAGGTTAATTTACTGTCTACAGCTGCTTTTGCCAACTCTAAAACATACGACCTATGATCAAAGCTCAACAAATCTGCTGTAAGAGTGAACACAACCGTCCTCGTGCACTGACAGCATCTGAGGAGCTGAACACCCCTTAGATTATTACTGATGGTGATGGCCCCACAAAACCCTTAGCGTTAGCACATCATGATGCTAATGTAGCTAAGGTTAATTTACTTTCCCTGTTCATGGCAACTAATAAAAAAATATAAACAGTAAAGTACGTGCAGCAGGTGGCAGTACTGATCAGTTTTCTCCAGTTTTGAACCATTAAAATGCAAATTAATGTCTTTGTTGTTTTAGTAAAATGAATATTCAAACAAATTCCACTTTTGTTTTTCTTTATCTTGTCATTTATTCCATCTATAGAGTTCTCTCTCCGTCTTCCTGGTCGTCGTGTTTCCATGGAGACGCAGGACTTTATGTTGCAGTGAAAAATGAGACAGAAGTCACATGACCAAACCCGACCACGTGTCACGTCACCGCTCTCGACATTTGCACGGTTGTCGGATTAAAGCCGTTGCCAGGCAACCCGGTTCCCTGCCAGCTGTTGCCTCCGATGCTGTCGCCATGGTGACGTGACAGGCGGAACGTGTACAATAAATGTGTGTGTTTCCATCCATGTGGCGTCGAGGAACGTGAAGGAGGTTAAAGACGGAGGAGTTCAGCCCGTCCATACGTCGTCCTGAGCGACCACATGAGGAGCAGAACCGACCTCTACGGGGGGGGTTCTGCCTCCGGGGCCAATCAGAGCCCAGCTCAGGGGGTTTCCACCTCCGGGGGCCAATCAGAGCCCAGCTCAGGGGGAGGCTTATTAAAGCAAATGTCACCAGGCTGAAGACGAACAGGTGCAGCCCGGTCGGTGGAAACCCTCCAATCAGACAAACACCTCAGCGGGAGTTCACAACATCAGCAGAAGGTCTGACGCTGGAGAAAGAAAAACAGAATAACGGGAGGCACCTCACGGAGACATCTGCTCGGTGCTGAGTCAGCTGTTTGCCAGTTTTACGCCGGTCCAGAGGGAACCGGGAGCGTTCAGGTCGTTCCCGCTGTCGGACCAGCTTATCAATTAGAGAACGTCCTGATCGTGTTGGGGTTTTAAATATTTAGCGTTTGACGAACAAGAGGAGCAAATATCTGCATTTAAACCAAAATAACAAAGTAAAAAACAGCCTGAAATGAAAGAAATACGACGAAAACCAACGTAAACCGATGTACAATATGTTTTAACTCATTAGAATTTCAACACAAGCTCACAAGAACTTCTGCAAACTTGCGTCATAATTGGAATCAAGTTATTTTTGATTCGAGTCGCTGAATATTTGATGTTTGCTGAAACAGAGGAGCAAACATCTGCTGTCAAACTAAAAAAAAATCAAGTAAAAACACCAGAACAATGGAGGAAAACCAAAATAAAACTGTGTCTAACTATGATTTAACTCAGTATAATTTCAACACAAGCTCACAAGAACTTATAAATCCATTTATTTCCATAATTGGAACGTCCTGATGAAGTTACTTTCGATTCGAGTCGTTGAATATTTAATGTTTGCTGACACAGAGAAGCCAATATCTGCTGTCAAACCCAAAAAATCAAGTAAGAAAAAGTCAGAAACCGGATGAATGGAGGCTTTTAAAGGAGCCGATAAGAGCTGCGATTAAAACAACAGTCCGAAACCCAAACCAGACCGACGTTCACCTGTGCTACAGCAAAGTAGAAATTCAACACAAGCTCACAAGAACTTATAAATACATTTATTTCCATAATTGGAACGTCCCGATCGAGTTATTTTCGATTCGAGTCGCTGAATATTTAATGTTTGCCGACACAGAAGAGAAAGTGTCTGCTGTCAAACTAAAAAAAAAATCAAGTGTAAAGCCAGAAGAACGGAGAGAAACCAAACCGACACGATGTCCAGCTAAGTTTTAACTGTTTAATGTCAACACAAGTTCACATCATATACAAATGTACTTATTGCTGCCCATCAGATCCAAGTTATTTAACATTTGTAGATACAATCTGATGCCAACGGTCCTGGACAACACACTCCTAAAGCACATTGAAGCCATTAAACCAATCCAGCGTGTAGGTTTGACGACTGAACAGCTTCCCAACGCTTCAGAAATATTTCCATCCTGCATCCCGGCTGCTCCTGAAAACCACTTTAAAGACCAACAAACTGACACTTGGTGCCCCGTTGGGTTCCTTCAGACAGAATAACTCGTTTCAGCGTTAGACTGATAAGAAACGCGTCTTGTGTTGGATAAAACCTGCACTCCGGACTTCCCTCCACGTCCGGTCCGGCTTGTTTTTGCAGATGAAAAATGAGGATAAAACGTGACGGGAGCAAACAAACGCCGGCGATCCGGGCCGATGATTAGTTTTATCAGCGCGTGCATTATTCCTGAAAGCACTTTAGCAGCGAGGATCAGGTTCCGGCTGCTAAAAAGCACAAGTGGAAAGAAAAGCACCCATCAGCTCGTGGTCGTGTCACGGCGACCCTCCTGAGCATCAATTAATGCATCAGAACAAGCGGCGGCGCTGAAGCCTCCCTTCGCCGTCAGCAGCGCGCGTCGGCATCGCGTCGTGCGTTTGCTCTTTGATGAACGGCCGATCGATGGCGGCGGAGAGCCGCTGACACGCCGAGGAAGCATCGGGGATTAAGGGGATGTTTTCCAGGGTTTTTCTGGCGAGTCAGCGAACGCGGCGCCACGCTCCGAGATGTTCAACCACATTTTAATTGCGCCGTTGCGTTTGATTCCTCGGCTGACGGGCGTTTGAACGTCGCTCTCGCAGCTTTGCGGACGCGACGGCTTTATTAAACGTCTTCTCTAATCACGGCTGCAGCTGATGCTTTGGACGCCTTCGAGCGTCCCCGAGGTGCTGCTGGCTAATGTGGCTTTTATTATTCTGTTTTCATTCCATAGAAAACCAACCGAATCTGCAAAAAGTTCCCATCTGACCTCAGAACCGACTGATTTTATATCTACAGTAAGTTTGTTTAATGCAGCAGAGTTTCACCTTCATGCTGTGAATATTTCCAGAGGTCCAGGCCCTCGAAGGTCCAGATTTATCACTTTTTAATGGACTTCTTCCATCATTTCTGAGCCTCAGAACTTTAAAAGCTGACATCAGATCAGTTGCACATCCATCCAGGTGTCACAGTCTGAACACTAAATCTGCTCGACTAATTTTTTACCACGAAAACAGGAAAAATTACCCCCAAATTACCACAAAAAAACATAAAATCAACAGGAAAAGGCATGAAATCTCCACAAAAAGATGAAAAACCACCATAAAAAGATTCAAAGTCGCCACAAGAACATTCAGGGTTCATTCTACATCCATCCAGGTGTCTCAGTCTGAAGAATAAACCTGGTTTCTGTTATTTTTCTCTGTAACCAGAACCTACCAGCTGATCTTCTAGAGACAGGATCCACAGACATAAGACGTCCTCAAAAATTTAGTCTAGAAGGAGACGAGTGAAGGAGACCACCAAGACACCTATGACTTCCAGCAAAGAAGTTATGAGAAAGAGACTAACGATGGACCCCCAAGAGATCTATGACTTCTTCTAAACCAGTCACAGGCCTCAGTGGCTGAGTTACAAAAGATAAAATCTGTACCAAGTCGTCTCAAAGACCGTTAAAAATTGGGGAATGTCAGAAATAGACGGCGTGAGTCTATTGGCCAATCGTTGGCGGCTAAACTGATCCAAGTAGTTTCAGTCCAAACAGCAAACATGATGGTCCAACATGAAGAACGAACCTCTTTCTCCTCAGTTGAAGTTCTGTGACTCCAACTTGTTTAGTTGTTCCTTTAAATAGAAAAGAACACCTGTTGGCGCCACGTTAGCATCTCTGCTGTGATGAAACAGCAGTTTTTGACACTGGGGGAATAAGAGCAGTTTTTAATCTATAGCATTAATATTTAAAGATGGCAGGTGGAGAAAGTCCGGCTCCGGTGGACTGATAATGATGAATGCTGGGGCGGCGTCGGACTGCAGCCGTGACCGGTTTCCTCGATGATGAAACTGGGATGAAAAATTAGAAAAGACTGAATTAAAGCGACGCTCCCTCGGTCCCATCAGGTGACCAACCGGCGAGGACGCTTTGGTAGGAAAGTGCTGAAAAGTTCTCCGCCCTCGAAGCTCCGGGTCTCGTTTAAAGGATCGGGCCGGCTAATGATTTCGGATGATCGCCGGAGGAACGAGGGCTGCAGGAGGCATAAATTAGCCGCCCTGCATGTTCACTTCTATTGACTCCAACTTCAACCGCTGGCTGCCTGCAGGCTTGGAAACACCTGCGAGAGCTTTGATAAACGGTCAGCAGATACAGCAACATGTAGATTTAAAACTCCTACTTTGGTTTATTTTCTTTTCAGCGGATGCGTCCTGTGACATTTCTTTGACTCGGAGGATAAAGCGTTCCTTTCATGAGCGTTCTTCTCTCCTCCCGCGACCGGCTGCTGCTATTTTTATCCACGTTTTTTTTTCTTTTTTGCTTTTGTTTCTCGCATCTCGACAATTTTTCTTTTCACAACGCATTAACAGAGAGGATACCTTAGGAGCCCTCGCCAGGCGCCCAACAACACCTCCTCATCCACAGCGCGCTCCGACACACAAACACACAAAAAAAAGGAGGCTGCAGGGTTTTTAATTGGCCTCTGCCCAAATTAGACAGATTCATCCCTCTCTCACATTAGCCGAGATGACCGGCCTGAAAAATCGCGCTGCTCAGGCGTTTCTCTGAGGCTTTCTCTCACCGCGCGCCGCTGTCGGAAAATTGGGCTGAAACAGCAACTTTGACGGTTAATTAGCCTCGTTAAGGAAATCTCCCAGGCCAAATCTGGAAATAAACATTCTTTGTTAGAGAGCGCGGCTTGTTTTTTTTTCGGCGCCGAGGAAGACCTTCTGGATGCAAAAACAAGGTGGTTCTGTTTGGAAGGAAACTCATCAACGGGGATCAAGATGTCGGCGTCAACAGGCTGTTTAGTGG